GCTTGGTCCCTAGTGTGTAGAATTGTTTGGGAAAGATTAGGAGGTTTGGCCTTGTTGGGGGAGCGGTACCACTGTGGATGGGTTTTGAGATTTCAAAAGTCCATGCCATTTTCTAGTTAGCCTTTTTCTCTGCCTCTCTTTCTCTGTCTTGTGCCCGTGGATCAGATGTAAGTTCTCAGTTACCGCTTTAGGGCTATGCCTACCTGTCTACCTACTGCCATCCTCCCTGCCATGATGGTCATGAGCCTGCCCTCTGAAACTGTAAGCCCCCATTAAACACTTTCTTCTATAAGCTGCTGTGGTCATGGTGTCTTGTGACAGCAATTGAGAAGAAACAGGGATATCATACTAGACTCAGATTTGCTAAGTAGCAGAGGCTAGCCTTAAACACCTTATCCTCTTGCCTTCATGTCTTAGTTACTTTTCTATTGCTGTGATAAAACGCTATGACAATGGAAATTTCTAAAAGAAAGAGAGTATAATTGGGTTTATGGCTCCAGAGGGATAGAATTTATGATGGCCGAGCAAGGTCACATAGGTATGTAGTTAGAGCAACAGCTAACAGCTCACATCTTGATCTGTAAGCAGGAGGCAGAGAGCATACTGGGAATCCCATAAGTCTTTTGAAACCTCAAAGCCTGTCACTAGAGACACATCTCCTTCAACAAGGCCACATTTCCTAATCCTTCCCAGACAGTCTCCAACTGGAAACCAAACATTCAAATATATCATCCTATGGAGGCTGTTCTCATTCAAATCACCATACTTCAAGTGCTAGGATTACAAACATGTGCCACCACACTAGGACATATTTGTCCAGGTTTTTATTTTCTTTTGTTCTTTTTGTTTATTTGCTTGTTTTTGAGACAGGGTTTCTCTGGCTGTCCTAGAAATCACTCTGTAGATAAGGTTGGCCTCGAACTCACAGAGATCTGCCAGCCTCTGCCTCCTGAGTGCTGAGATTAAAGGCATGTGCCACCACTGCCCAGCTTCGTGTTTTGTTTTGTTTTATTTTTTTTTTTTTTTTGGTTTTTTGTTTTGTTTTATTTTAAGACAAAGTCTCACGGTGGCCTTGAATTTTTTAATGTAGACCAGGCTGACCTTAAACTCTTAGTCATCCTTCTGTTTTAGCTACCCAAATGCTGGGATTATAGGCCTACCTATAGTACCAGACACAATTTAAAAACTATATGCTGGCTAATTTTATGTCAGTTTGGCACATGCCCAAGTTATCTGAGAGGAAGGAGCCTCAATTGTGAAAATGCCTCTGTAAGCCGACCTGTAGGGTATTTTCTTAATTAGTGATTCATGGGAGCATTGAGGGAACAAGGTCCTCATGCTCACAGACAGCAGTAAGGAAACCAAAACTGTTAAACTAGCAGGCTTTTCTCTTTAATAAAAGGGATTTACACTTCTTTTCTGTGATTAGATGTAGTTAATAATCTAGCGATCTTTTGCAATCTATAGAGCCAGGCCTCATTCAAATCCCCGAGACATTATATTTATCCCAGACTTGTGAGCATTGTTTTTCAGTCAATAGAACCTGTTCTTTTTTTAAGATTTATTTATTATGTAAATAAGGGTTTTACCTCCATGTATGCCTGCAGGCCAGAAGAGGACACTAGATCTCATTACAGATGGTTGTGACCACCATGTAGTTGCTGGGAATTGAACTCTGGACCTTTGGAAGAGGCTCTTAACCTCTGAGCCATCTCTCCAGCCCAACAGAACCTATTCTTAAGAAAGAGGTTCCAACTGGGCAGTGGTGGCACACGCCTTTAATCCCAGCATTGGGGAGGCAGAGGCAGGTGAATCTCTGTGAGTTTGAGGCCAGCTTGGTCTACAGAGTGAGTTCCAGGACCTAAAAAAAGAAAGAAGGAAAGAGATCCCATATACTTTGCAAAAGAGTCTACTATTATGCTTATTCCAGACCCTTTCTCTCTCTTTTTAAAATTAATTTATTCTTATTTTATATATTGATGTTTTGCCATGGATGTTGGATCCCCTGAAACTGGAGTTATAGACAGTTGTTAGCTGCCATGTGGTTACGGGGAATTGAACCCAAGTCCTCTGGAAGAGCAGTCAATACTCTTAACTACTAGGCCATCTCTAGGCTCTTCCTCTCTATCTTTTTTATTTTTATTTTTTGGGTTTTTTTATTGATATTTATTGAGCTCTACATATTTCTCTGCTCCCCTCCCTGTCTCTCCCCTCCCCCAAGGTCCCCATGCTCCCAATTTACTCAGGAGATCTTGTCTTTTTTTTACTTCCCATGTAGATTAGATCTGTGTAAGTCTCTCTTATAGTCCTCATTGTTGTCTAAGTTCTCTGGGGTTGTGGTTTGTAGGCTGGTTTTCTTTGCCTTATGTTTAAAAACCACCTATGAGTGAGTACATGTGATAACTGGCTTTCTGTGTCTGGGTTACCTCACTCAAAATAATGTTTTCTAGCTCCATCCATTTCCCCGCAAAATTCAAGATGTCGTTATTTTTTCTGCTGTGTAGTACTCCATTGTGTAAATGTACCAATTTTCCTCATCCATTCTTCGGTCGAGGGGCATTTAGGTTGTTTCCAGGTTCTGTCTATGACAAACAATGCTGTGTGAACATAGTTGAGCACATGTCCTTGTGGCACGATTGTGCATCCTTTGGATATATACCCAAAAGTGATATTACTGTTTCTTGAGGAAGGTTGTTTCCTAATTGTCTGAGAAATCGCCACACTGACATCCAAAGATGTTGTACCAGCTTGAATTTCCACCAGCAATGCAGAAGTGTTCCCTTTACCCCACAACCTCTCCAGCATAAGTTGTCATCCGTGTTTTTGATCTTGGCCATTCTTTCAGGTATAAGATGGAATCTCAGAGTTGTTTTGATTTGCATTTCTCTGATGACTAAGGATGTTGAACATCTCCTTAAGTGTCTTTCAGCCATTTTAGATTCTTCTGTTGAGAGTTCTCTGTTTAGGTCTTTACTTCATTTTTTTTATTGGATTATGTGTTCTTTTGGTGTCCAATTTCTTGAATATTTTGTATATTTTGGAGATCAGACTTCTGTCTGATGCGGGGTTGGTGAAGATCTTTTCCCATTCTGTAGGCTGTTTTGTCTTGTTGGCCGTGTCCTTTGCTTTACAGAAGCTTTTCAGTTTCTGGAGGTCCCATTTATTAATTGTTTCTCTCAGTGTCAGTACTGCTTAAGTTATATTTAGGAAGTGGTTCCCTGTGCCAATGCGTTCAAGTGTACTTCCCACTTTCTCTTCTATAAGGTTCAGTGTGGCTGGCTTTATGTTGAGGTCTTTGATCCATTTGGACTTGAGTTTTGTGCATGGTGATAGATATGGGTCTATTTTCATTTTTCTACATGTTGATATCCAGTTATGCCAGCACCACTTGTTATATATGCTTTCTTTTTTCCATTTGATATTTTTTGCTTCCTTATCAAAAGACCCTTCCTCTCTCTCTCCCTTTTTTTAAATATAAGGCACAGTGTTTACTAAAGGCATGAAGTGGGGGGTCTGAGGACAGGGGTACTCTCCACCCTGAACCCAGACTCCTCTTCTGGCCACCCCACCCTCATACCACCAGGGGAAGAGCTGTTAGCGCCAAAGGAGGGTGGGTGCCCCACCTGTGGGGGAAGTATCAGGCTGGGGAACAGGCTGAGTGCCATCTAGTCCCAGGAAGGCAGGCCTAAGCACCCCCAGGCCAGCTGCTACCTCAGAGGTACTTCTTTTTTTTTTCATTGATTTTTTTTCAAACTTTTATTTTATTTTTTCCTTTTATAAATAATACCATTCAAAATTTCCACCTCCTCCCCTCCTCTCATTTCCCTCCCACTCCCCCACACACCCTCCCCCCTCCAGTCCTAAGAGAGGGCAGGGTACCCTGCCCTGTGGGAAGTCCAAGGCCCTCCCCCCTCCATCCAGGTCTAGGAAGGTGAGCATCCAAACAGACTAGGATCCCAAAAAGTCAGTACATGCAGTAGAATCAAATCCCAGTGCCTTTATCAATGGCTTCTCAGTCAGTCCCCATTGTCAGCCACATTCAGAGAGTCCGGTCTGATCAAATGCTTGTTCAGTCCCAGTCCAGCTGGCCTTGGTGAGCTCCCATTAGATCAGTCACACTGTCTCAGTGGGTGGGGACACCCCTCGCGGTCCTGACTTTCTTGCTCATGTTCTCCCTCGTTCTGCTCTTCATCTGGACCTTGGGAGCTCAGTCCAGTGCTCCAGTGTGGGTCTCTGTCTCTGTCTCCATCCATCGTCGGACGAAGATTCTATGGTGATATTCAAGATATTCATCAGTGTGGCTATGGGACAAGGCCAGTGAACCCAAAGAAAAACATATATAGATCCTCCTGGAAATTGGAAGCAGACAAGATTGCTGGGAAAAAGTTGGGAGCACGGAGGTGGGGTGGGGGGTACAGGAAAGGAGGAGAGAGAAGGGAGAAAGGGAGGATTGGGGAGAGCTTGGGGGAGTGGGATGGTTGAGGTGGAGGAAGGGTGGATATGGGAGCAGGGAAGAAGATATCTTAATTAAGGGAGCCATTTTAGGGCTCTAGAGGGGATCCCAGGTGTCCAAGGGGATGTCCCCAGTTAGGTCGTTGGGCAACAGAGGACAGGGTGCCTGAACTGGCCTTGTCCCATAGCCACAGAGGTACTTCTTATACCTTCTCCAAAATGTCCTTCTTGGAGGGGCCCAGGCTCCGAGAGAGGGGCTCCCCTACCAGGGTTTCTTCTTATTCCTCATATTGTTTCACCTCACCCTTGTTCTTCTACCTCACGATTCATAGTACTGCCCCCAGAGGAGGGAGCTCTGAGCCGAGCGGCAGGGCTTAGCCCATCTGCAGCCAGGCAGGCACTAAGTCCAAACAGGGGCCGACCAAAGGGAAGGAGAGGCAGGGTAGGCGGCTACTTCACACCAACTGCAGCCTGAGGGATAGGAGGGTTCTGCCCTGTCCTCCCAGCCCCCAGGCAGCCCCTGCTCCTTGGCACAGGGGCAGCCAACATCACAGGACATCGCCCTCCTCGATACTGAAGCTGCTCCAGCGGCTGCCTGCCTTGGAGGCCTCAGGGGACATGGTAGAAAAGAGGGGGTCGGAGGCCAGGGGTAGCAGGGAGTCATCTAGGAGCATTAAGTCCAGATCCTTCTTGGACAGGTTGGGGAACGGGGAGCCATGCTCTGCCCCCAGGGGATCATGGTAGCCTGTGGGCCCCTCATCACCCCCACCCCCAAAGCTCAAACTGTGACTGAAGTCCAGGTGATGAAAAGGGTACTGTGGCTGGGTGGCTGGGGGCAGTGGGGCCTGCGGAGGGAGAGCAGGCATTGGCTCAGGGTCAGAGACCTCAGGCCCCAGCATGAGAGCCTCCCGTGGGCCGTCTTCACTGGGTAGTTTCTGCTTCACCACCTGTTGGGCCAGCTCAGCCATGTTCACGCCGGATGGCGTTGTAGTGGGGAGGCCGTGGACCCGCGCCTGCATCTCCAGCTCCTGGATGCGAAGCCAGAGCTGCTTGTTGGTCATCTCTAGGCGCCAAGAGTGGTTCTCCAGTTCTCGGGATTTCTGCAGATCTTTCTGCATCCTCTGGATGTAATCCATAGAGGCCTTGAGAATGATGCCCTTATTCCAGCTCACATCCAGGTCATTGGCCTTGGGGATCAGCATTCCCAGCTTGTTGATGCGGTCATTGATGTTGAACCTGTGTCTCCTCTCAACTACAGATTAAGATTTCAGAGGGCATGGTTAGAAAGGTGGAACCCACCTAAGAGAAGCCCCCAACCTAGGATGGTAGGCACCCCATAGAAAATCTTAGTTTAGAATAAAAGGGACTCAAGCCTCAGTGTGGTGCTTTAATCCCAGCACTTGGGAGGCAGAGGCAGGTGGATCTCTGTGAGTTTGAGGCCAGCCTGGTCTACAAAATGAGTTCCAGGACAGCCAGGGTTACATAGAGAAACTCTGTGTCAAAAAAACAAAAAAGAAAAAATAAAAGAAAAAGGAAGGAGGGATAGAAGGAGGGAGAGAGAGAGAGAAAAGAAAGAAAGAAAGAAAGAAAGAAAGAAAGAGAAAGAGAGGAGCTGGAGAGATGGCTCAGTGGTTAAGAGCACTGACTCCTCTTCCAGAGGACCCAGGGTTCAATTCCCAGCACCCACATGGCAACTCACAACTGTCTGAAGATCCAGTTGCAGGGGATCACCTTCACACCAATGCACATAAAATAAAGTTAAATAAACCATTAAAAAAAGACACCAACAAGACCTTTAAAAAAAGAAGGAAAGAAAGGAAAGAAGGAAGGAAGAGAGAGAGAAAGAAAGGGACCTGCAGGTTGGGATTGGCAGCTGAGGAGGGTCTGACCCTTCCTCTCTTAACCCCTTATCCTGAGCATTGCTTCTCAGTCAATAGAACCCATTTTTATGGAAAAGGTCACCAGTACTTTACAAAAGACATGTACTTTGCAATGCAGTTTCAATGTAGTCCTGCCTTAAGCTTTATTGTGATAATTGTCACTAGGAAACTTTTTTCCAAAGTTGTACTATACTTAAATATGTAAAAAATTAACTGCTCAGGGTCAGACTCTCTGTGTAACAGTCCTGGCTATCCTGGAACTCAGTCTGTAGACTCAGTCTGTAGACCGCTTGTCTCTGCCCCTCAAATGCTGGGATTAAAGGCATGCACCACCAGACCCAGCTAGATTCTGGAAGTTTGAACCAACCTGAACTAAGTCATATTGAACAGGATTTCCTTCTTGCCTCATGCAGATAATTCCTCTGCCTGCCATAGCATTTATTGGGACCTCCACAATGGGGAAAGGCACATCCCATTTGGTTGGGTCACCCCTAGGCTGGTGGTCCTGGGTCCATTAACAAAGCAGGCTGAGCAAGCTATGGTGTGAGCAACTCAGGAAGCACTTCTGCTTCCAGGCTCTCTCAGATTTGAGTTCCTGCCTTGGCTTCCCTCAGTGAACTATAACTCTGAATAAATAAACCAAATAAACCCTTTCTTTTCCAAAATGCTTTTGGTCATGGTGTTTCATCACTGCAATAGTAACCCTAAGTAAGACAGAAATCAGTTTGTGGTGTGTTTTGTTTCCTTTTCATTTGCTTATTTTTGAGGATCTTGCTGTATAACTCTGGCTAGCCTGGTACTCAATATATAATCCTGGCATGCAATGTATAAAATATAGATGCCCTCAAATTTACAATTATGTACCTGCCTGAACCCCCAAGCACCTAGGATTAGAGATGTGAGCTCTCATGCTTGGCTTAGAAAAGAGTATGTATCTAACTGTATTTTCTCTTTCATGTGGCCAGGATAGAGGCTTTCCTCAGAAATCTGATGATCTTTGGCTATTTTCTCATGTTGGTCATGGAAGCACAGGCTTATAAACCTAGCTCCTCAAGAGGCTAAGCATAGCCTGGCAACTTAGTGAGAGAGCACCTGTCTCAAAATAAAATATTAAGAAAGGCATAGTAGTGAATGCCTTTAATCCGAGCACTCTGGAGGCAGGGGCAAGAGGATCTCTGGGAGTTTGGAACCAGTCTGGATAACCAGGGCTACACAGGGAAACTCTGTCTCAAAAACAAACAAAACAAACAAGCAAATAACTAAACACATACTAAAAATAGGGTGAGTGGGGGTAGTGCAGCAAGGGTCTGATGACCTGAGTTTGATCCCCAGAACCTAGGTAAAGGTAGAAGAAGAGAGCTGAGTCCACAAAGTTGTCCTCTGACCTCCATAAACATGCTATGGCATGTGTGCTGCCTTGATCGTGCACATATAATAATAAGTAAAAATGTCTTAGAAGATGGCTAAGGATAGAGTTCAGTGGTAAAACATGTACCTAGAATGTGCTAGGCCTTGGGTTTACTACTGAGTACCAAATGAAAGAAAAAGAAAACCAAAAGGAATTCCTAAAGAACTTACTGGGAAGAAGGGGCCTGCAGAGCCTGAGCTGCACTGCAGCAGGGCTGTTCCTTTGGAATTCTGGCACTCAGCTTCCCATCATTGTAACAAATACTTGATAGTGAATTTGGAAGAATGAAAGGGTTATCTAGGTCCACTGTTTCAGAGCTTTTGACCCTTCATTGATTGACCCATTGCTTTGTGACCTATGGTGGGAGTGCTGTAGGAAGTCTTATAGCCAGAAGGTAACCACTGGAAGAACAACACAGGAGCATGTAGTAGGACGAAACCACTGACCATACAGTTGGTTGCAAAACTGAGGAAGGGTCTGGAACTTCTCTTTCCCTCTTAGAAAGTAATTCTTAAAATTTAAATTGTATTTTGGTGGAGTGAGACTGCTTGGTTATTCCCGGCTGCTCAGCCCAGGAATAATAACACAAAAACTGTATTAATTAAATCACTGCTTGGCCCATTAGCTCTAGCTTCTTATTGGCTAACTCTTACATCTTAATTTAACCCATTTCTATTAATCTGTGTATCTCCACGTGGCTATGGTTTACTGTCTATAAGTTCTGGCGTCCCTGACGGGGCTACATGGCTTCTCTTTGACTCCATCCTCCTTCTATCTTGCTATAGGCCAAGCCAGTTTCTTTACTCATTAATGGTAATCACAGTATACAAAGGGGACTCCCACATCAGTATTTATTATTTGTTCATTCATTTACTTATAGTCACGTGTATGAGTGTTTTACCTGCATGTATATCTGTGTGCTATGTGTATGCAAAGCCCATGAAGACCAGAAGAAGGTTTCAGGTCCCTAGGACTGGAGTTACAGATGGTTGTGAGCCACCATGTGGGCACTTGAAATCAAACCCCAGTCCTCTGGAAGAACAGTTAGTGATCTTAACTCTGAGCCATCTCTCCAGCCCCTCTCTCCCTTTTGAGGGTGTGCTTTCAATGTATGGAACACTTCCCAGTGGGTCCAACCACTTCCCAGAATCCCATGTTGGAAACTAAGCTTCTAAGCTTTTAACACAGAGACCTTTGGGGACCAGTCTATAACAAGTTTCATCAGTGTTGTTTTCAGATCCCGTGCCTTGGGGTTAGTCCCAAGGAAGATCTTTAGGCTAATGCCTGAGGCGGGCTGGCTGCTTGCACTTAAGGAACTAAATGGACCAAAACTCAATAGAGCATCTGTTTAGCCCTTAGATTGTGCTTGAAGGATTGATCCAGACTCAGGAGTGGAAGGGGGCTGCAAAGAATGGAAAGGAACAGCATGAGGCTAAGGACAGAGGATAAACATTTGAGATGAACAGGTTAAAGCAATTGAGGCAGAAAGAGGAGGACGCTGATATGAAGTTAACATAGTTTGGGAATGCTGAGCATGGTGGGGCAAATCTGTAATTCCTAAACTTGTGAGGCTGAGTCAGAAGGATGATGAGTTCAAGGCTAGCCTGGGCTACATGAGACTCGTCCTCAAAACAAAACAACAGCAAGCAAGAGATAAAAGAAAACAAAGGAAAGACTGTGCCAGACAGACAGACACAGTGAGGGGGAGCTGGGCACAGACAGGAGGCAGAGGCAGGCAAATCCTGTGAATTTGAGGCCAACCTGGTATACATAATGAGTTCCAAGCTAGCCAGGGCTATGTAGTGAGACCTTGTATCAAAAAAAAAAAAAGAAAAAAGAAAAAAAAAGCCAAAGAAAAGAGCTAGAGAGATTGCTCAGGGCTTAAAAGCATTAGTTGCTCTTGCAGAGGACCTAGGTTCAATTCCCAGCACCCACAACCATCCTTAACTCCAGTTCTAGGGTATCTGATGTCCTTTTGTGACTTCTTCAGGAACAGCACACACATGGAGCAGAGATATACTTGCAGGCAAAACACTCAGACAAGTACATCAAAGGCATGCACCACCACTGCTCAACTTGACATATTCTTATGAATGCCCAGCCTTAGCTTGGTTTGTTTCCAGTCAGATTTTCTAACTTAAATTATTCCATTTTTCTTTAACTACATTTTGCCTCTAGGCTTTTTACCTTTTTTTATTCTATTTATTTTTCTCTTTTCTTTTCTCTTTCTTCCTTCCTCTCTCTTTCTTTCTTTCTTCCTTCCTTCCTTTCTTTCCTTTCTCCATGGCTGACTGGGGTGGCTGGCCCCTGGTGTCTTCTCTCCTTCTCCTTTTCTCAGTCCTCCCTCCCTTCCCTAGGTTTCTCCTATTTATTCTCTCTGCCTGGCAGCCCCACCTATTTCTCTCTCCTGCCTAGCTATTGACCATTCAGCTTTTTATTAGATCAATCAGGTGTTTTAGGCAGGAAAAGTAACACAGCCTCAGAGTTAAACAAATGCAACATAAAAGAATGCAACACATCTTTGCATCATTAAACAAATGCTACACAACAATCCCTGTCCCTGAAGGGACAGGATTATGTTCAGGATTATGGCTTCAGGCTTCACTTGAAATTCCAAGGAAAGGCTGGATTTGTTTAGTGTGGGCCAGGGTCTAGAGAAGAGCTTTGTGCAGAAGTTTGCAATAGTCAAAGCAGTAGTATTTGAGATCAAGGGCAGGGAAACCTAGCACAGTATAAAGGCAGGACAGATATTATGTGAAAGGCAATACCCAGGGACAGCTCTGAAGAGAGAGATGTCAGGGCCTTTCATCTCTGAGGTACAAAGGGAGATTCTAGGCTAGCAGAGGGGTTGACCAGCACTTCATGATCCTCCTAGATTTCTGACTATTAGAAATTAGAAACCTAGAAAGGGGCTGGCAAGATGGCTCAGTGGTTAAGAGCACTGCCTGCTTGTCTAAAGGCCCT